TACCACAGCAATATATGTGCACCCATGTTTATAGCAGCACAGTTTGTAATAGCTAAAGCTTGGAAACAGTCCAAGTGCCCATCAACTGGAAACTGGAGAAAGATGTGGGTTGTTTTTTTTTAATGGAGTACTACTTAGCCATAAAGAATGAGAAACTAGAGACATTTATAGCTAAATGGATGTATATTGAGGCCATACTCTTAAGTGAAACAATTAGGACATGTGTAAATACCGAATAGTTTCTCTAGTGTGAGAAACTGAAAGGGTAAATAAGGATTAAAAGGATTAGTAATGAATAACTGATATTTTGAAATAGGAAAAGATCCAAAGCGGTAGGAGTAGTGGCGAGGGAAGGGGAAAGAAGGGAAAGGAAAAATTATGAGAAAAAAAAAAGTGACAACGAAGTCTATGTAAATAGGGAAGGGTGGAGGGGGTGAAGGGCGCATAGGTAATGGGGAAAAAGTAAGAACCAAGATACATCATGTACAGGTACAAGCACCCAATGATAAATGTAAACATATTGTATACCTAAAATGTACCAATAAAAGAATTTAAGGAGAAAACAAAAAAAGAAACAGTTATATAAACTACAACTGAAAGAAACATATTAAATAATTATCTATAAACATTATGGAAAATATACAAAAATTAGTAAGTGCATATAAAACAACATCTACTATCCTGAATAGTTTACATCCTCAATTTCTTTACCACAAACACTACAGGAAAAAATCACGAGCACTATAACTTCCAACTATGTAAGAAAACTGAGTAAGTTTACCTAAGTTTATATAACATCAGAAGGCAAGGGCCAGGGATTTAGCTCAGTGGTGCCGGCACCACCGCCTGCCTTGCAAGCACAAGGTCTCGAGTTCGATCCCAGGTACCAAAAAGAAAAGAAGGCAATGCATTAAAAAATGATAATGATGAAAACAGTTGGGATAAAACCGTGGGATCGTGGTGTAGTTCTTGTACTCCAAAAATTCTATATTGCTATCTTGCTTCAGAACAGAAAGCAAGTGGCCCCCCCCCCATGGTCAAGATTCCCACAGCCCCCTGAAAACCACTCCAAGTCACAGGGCCCAAAGATGGCTGAGAACACTGACAGGGACTCATCTCTAGCATCCCACCTCGAAGCTCCTTCCCTGCCCCACCCAGGAGTGCTGGGGATTGGACCTCGACACTGAGCTACATGCCAGACATTTCTTATGGGAGACAAGATCTGGCTAGATCACTAACTTCCCCAGGTTAGGCTCAAACTTGCAATCCTCCTGCTTCAGTCTCCCAGAGTGCTTGGCTACGGGGATGCATCACCCCTCTGGCTAGAGATCCTCTTTTAAGGCAATGGAAATGCCCACACTGTCTCAGACAGCAAATGGTTCCATAACAATTTAAGAAACTATAAATGACTAAGTCACAGGATGAACTGATGTCACACAAAAATGATCCCAACAATAACTCAAACCGATCCAGACAGAAAGGTTTGATGACACTTTAGCCAAGAGTCAGTTCTCTTCCTGAGGGGAGCGCAGGTGGGAAGGGGTCTGCACGATGCCTTTGCACCCACTGCTGGCTCAGGAGAACTCAGGCACCATAGCCAGGCCTGCAGGGACACGGCAGACCCCAGGGGCCCAGCCTCAAAGCAAAGAGGAGGCAGCTCCCTGGTCACAAAGGGCCACAAGTGCCCACTGTGCACCGGAAAAGTGAGTCTAAAGCAAGGATTAATGTCAAGTACAAAACACACACTAGATTTCCAAGGTGTAGTCTAAAAAATACCTTACTAGTTATTATTTATGTTGATTACAGTTGAGATGATGGTTCTTAGGATGGAGCAGGTAAAACATATATTAGAATTAACATCTCTTGTTTCTTTTTACTTTTCTAAAATATGGCTGCTAGAAGATTTTAAATTCTGTGTGGCTCCCGTTCCCTTTCTATTGGGCACAGCCGGCCGATCAGTGTGCATCTCAAAGAAAGAAGAGGAGCAGGGAGATGGGGTCCTAGGTCCTGGCCGAGTGTGGGGGAACCGAGTGAGAAACACATCACTCCCAACAATTCCAGGCAACACTGGACCACGTGGAAAACAGCACCACAGAAATGGCAGGACAAAAGCAGAAAACCAACCCAAAGAAGACACCAACACGGAGCCCTGCTTTCTGGGTTTGGTTCTGTCTCCTTACTGCGAGGCTCTTTTTCATGAGAAATGAACGCCACTAGAAAGAGGTATGAAAAATGCCTGGAGAAATCAAGAAGCTTGCACTTGGATAAGCATACGGGTAACTTTTAAAACTCTATTTCTGTACTGTGTTACCTGATTTTTGGTATCAAAAGGGGGGCAGAGAGAGATCAAAGACCACTGACTCCTTCAACCACATCAAAATTGAAGCAGCCAAGAAAACAGCTTGAAAATTTCACAGCGTCCTTTACTAAGGCAGGAGAAGAATGCTCAAGTGTCACAACTGTGCTTTCGACTAGAAGCCCAGCTAGAGGGCTCACAACAGGCAGCCTTAGCAGTCATCACTTGCAAATGACAAATGGCCAAAGTGACCCCGCATGCCCCAGGCTCCATTGTGTCCTGTCAAGCAGCCACCCTCAGAAGAGACTGGACACACAGCATGCACCACAGAGCCCCAGTCTCCTCGGGACACCTGAGGACAAACCCCAAAGCCATGGCATGCAGGAGGGCCCGATGGCAGAGCACCCACAGCCACGGGGCTACGGGCCGCACACCTCATCTCCAAACACCCTGCACAACAGCACCTGCTTGGGGAGGCCAGTGTGGGTAGCACTCACAGGCACTCAGAAACAAGCTCCAGGGGCGGGGGAGCCCCCACCTACTGCTCAAGCGGAAGCAGGGGCAGCCAAAGCTACTAGGCCTAGGCACGGTGTGCTTGCGAGACTCCCTGCACAGGCTTCGAGCCACCGCGAGGGAAAACTCGCCCACACTCAGCTCAACATTGCCAGCTTCCGGCACTCCGAACACCAGATGAAGGCCTAAAACTCAGTGGGCAGTTAGTTACACACATGTGGCTAAGGGCTTGACTTCTTTGGCTCACTAGGCTTTAATAAGTGACTGCATAATTAAAAGCAGGTATTTTCACATCGTACTGCATTTCTGTGGCCAAGAGCTCTGAGTGCACAAGGTTCGGCTCTTCTCCAGAACTCCCAGAGTCACATCGTTCATCCCTGTCAGTGGACACAGTGTGGGCCATGTCCGCTCACTGGGGCCTGCTGGGGCCTCGTGAGCGGTGTGGGGAAGCTGCCCTTACCTCTGCAGCCGCTGCACGAGCTGGGCCACCATGGTGTCGGAGATGCCGGGGCAGGCCTCTTCCGCCAGGTAGATGGCGCCGCGAAGTTCTTCTATGGACCCCAGGTTCCCCCCCGACGCCTGGCTCTTCTCCTTCAGCTGAAACATAGGAAGGGCAGCATGACCCACATCTCCAGACCCAGACACGCATGCCACCCGATACAACTCCAGGTCCCCGGGACCCACAGCCACCAGGTCACTGGGCTCCACAGCAAAGAACTCTTAAGGACGGCACATGACTACCAGACCAGAACAGAGGGAGCCAGCTCTGTTTGCATCTTTGCTCCAAACTGGCCTCACATGAAGTGTCCTGCTGATTCCAACTCTACCGAAGCCTTACTCTTAATCCAGAAAAGCCACTTCGCAGTCACCAGAAACTGCTCTGGTGTGCATGCCGTGGCTGCACCATGATCACCTGAGCTCAGCTCCTGGTGTCAGTGGGTTGGATCCCTGGCTCCAGCACCATGAGAACGCCCTCATGTGGCCCTGAATTGTGGGAACCTCAGGGCTGCCCTCTGCTCCCATGAGAAATCAGTGTCCTCAGCACCTCCTCCCTCTAGGTATACCCGACATTGGAGTGTGGCTCAGGTCAGACCCAGCCAGCTCGGGACCAAATGCCCTCCAAGACTCTGGGTGGTAGCTGCACAGCTGACAGCCACCAAAGCCCCCTCCTCCATTCTGTCTCTGGATAGCTCACAGGACACTGGCCTTGGCTCTGTAGGGTGCCAAGAACACAGGTCATCACTGACAGATCAGTGTCGCCATGAAAGCAACAGCTTCTCTCCCTGCTGGAAGGACTGGATAGGGCCGGGGTGCCAGGAATACTGTTTGTCACAGGCTGCAACACCGATGACCTCAAGACCCTCTCCTACACCCCGTCACTTACCAGCACTAGCAAGGCCCAAGATGATTTGCATCTATCACCCCCTGCCCTGCCTGCCATGACCCACACCTGTGTCTCAGGACCAGGAGGATACGGGGGCAGTCCCAGGACAGTCCCTGTCCAAGGGCACGCTGGACAATGAGTGATAGCAACAGGGCACCAACGTCCCAGGCTCCCCACCCTCCTCACATGTAAGTGCAGGGGTAATCATCCCAGCAGTGAGCCCTCAGGGCTATTCTCGAAAATCATGCCCATTAAACACTTGGAACTCCAGGTCACCAAACAGCCTCTTAATAAACACACACAGGAAAGGAGGCGTGAGTTTACGAGCTTACCTTTAGGTAGCCCAGACATTTCTACATTAGATTAATCTGAGGAAGCTACAAGTAATGATTTCAAGAGCTTCTTCTGAAACCCAGTAAAATAATATGCGCCCTTTCTCTAATTCCCGGCCAATGCTATTAGAATGGCCAATGACAGGTCACAGGACAGTAACCGGGCAGCTGGAAACCCACAGGCCCACAGGCATCACACTCAAGGGCACAACGGCATCTAGGGAAGGACACAGGTGACCAGGATGGGGCCACAGCCAGAGGCCAAGAGCAGCACAGCCTGCCTGGCCCGTGGCTCCCATCTGAGGCCAGTGTGCCCACACGGCTCACCGCGCAGGATGCCATGTCTCAAGTGCCAGCCACCTGGAGGGCTGAAGGGCTGGGAGGGGACCCATGACCCAGGGCAGACCATGTAAGAGCCCAAGCGCAGGCATGAACAGCGCTCCTTCCTCCCAGGGACCACCATGCTTGAGTCACAGGACCCTGGACACTGCCACTGAGCAAAGTCACCCAGAGAGGTGGGGATCCCACACACTGACGTGGGGTGACTCACCTCAGTTATCCTCAAGGCAGCCTGAGCCAGGAAGGGACACACAAATGTGCACGCTCACACACACGCACGCACAAATGCACAGTCATCCACAGGGTGTGGCCTGCGGGGTCAGGTGACCTCTGCAGGAGCGTACAGATCGCAGGCAACTACTGTGGCATGGGGATTCAAGGAACTCGGGGTCCCCTTAAAAACAAAACTCTACTTTGAACACTGCCATGAATCTGTGTGAGGCAGAGATCAGGCTACATCGGCCAGATTTCACAGCTCCCCGAAGCTGATTGTCACCCTGGTAACACAGCTCAGGGCTGGGTCCCTGGGGCTGTGACAATGTGGGCATCTCCCAGGGAAGATGTGACAGAAGACAGCTGCCAAGGGCAGGTGGGAAGCAGCTCTCAGCAGTGCTGGAGGCCAGCAGCCTGCCCATGTCTGCCAGCTGCTGTAATGCCTCCAACTTTACTGGCAACGACCACCCCTCCCCTCCCCCTGCCCACCCCCCCAGCTCTCCAGCAAGCCAGCCAGGTGCCTTACCTCAGCAAACAGAGGAGAAATAATTGTGGATAAACACTGAGAGAAAGGCCTCTTTGGGATGTCTTTCATCTGGGGGGAAAGAAGGAAGGTCATCAGAAACAGGCGACATCACGCCGGCCACCTCACCGAGCTTCGGAACTGGTCTAAGCAGAGTGACGCTGAGGACACATCCTGCCCACTGTCCCCTGGCTTCCACAGGCTACAAAGTCTGATCTGCAGTCACACAGCTGGGACCCAGAGCCTGGATCCCACGTGGGAAGACGGGACACAGGCAGTGAGCTCTGAGGAGACAGCCACACCGACCCCACCACCACTGTGTGGAGGGGGCTTTGCAGACCGGACCCTGGACAGGGACCCCGTGTCAAAGTGGCCATCACACAAGCCACTATTTTCACTCTGTCTGAATGCTGCACATCTTCCAACTCATCCCAGAAGGCCTGTGGGACCAGGGGTGCCTGAGACCACTCACTGCACTTTCAAAATCCCAAAGGGCTAGGGATGCGGCTCAGTTATACAGCACTTGGCTGGCGTGTGTGATGCCCTGGACTCAATCCTCACCCCCCAATCCTAAAAATACAGGTTTGGGTTTTTTGGGGTGCTAGTGGTACTAGGGATTAAACTCAAGGCCTTTGTACTACACTACATCCCTAGCCTTTTCTTTCCTTTTCTTTTTATTTTTTTGAGACAAGTTCTCACTAAGTTGCTAAGTTGCCCAGGCTGACCTCAAGCTTGAGATCTTCCCAAGACCTCAGCTTCTGAGAGTGCTGGGATTGTATGTACGCACCATCATGCCCAGTTGCTGTAAATCTGAAAAGGCATGAAACTAATTAATCAAAATTAAGTTTCATATAAAGCACCAAAAGTGATACATTCATTTATAAGGTCCTTAAATAAAGCTCTACCATAAAATTATGGTATGAGATACATACAACTCTAACACGCAAACAGACATGGTCCCAGAAAGGCAGTCACCGCACACGTGAAACTGCACCCCAAGCACCAACAACACATGGCTGAGGGTCACGGGGTCCTGGCGTGACCTCGGGGTGGAGGGCAGAATCAGCAAGGTTCCGCAGAGTCCGGACTCTCCAGTCTGAACCTTCTGATAAACTGACAACTAAACCTCAGGGTCATCACTCCGAGAGGGCAAAATCCCACCCCTGGCCGCCTCTGGATGACCGCCCCGTCCGAATGCACCACAGGAAGTACCTCGCACCTGTCCCTGGCTGACAGGCCCTGGTGGCCTCTGAGCACGAGCGACCGTACCTTACTTCTTTCCAACTCTGAGGGCTGAAGAGCTCCGTTCTCCAGATTCTTGGGGTCCTTCTCCCGGATTGTGAAGATCCAGTCCCCAGAGTCGTTGCCTCCGGACGCCTGGCCGTCTGTTTCCCTGGACACAGACATCCCATGCCCCCAGCTCGGTCAATGTCCACAGCCGCTTCTGATCCCCATTCCCCTCTGTCAAACTCATCCAGTTCCCCAGGTTTGCCCGAGCAGTGCTGCCCACTTTGTCTCGGAGACCAGACGGGGAATCCTCCCCCAGACCTCCTCCTTTGCCTTGCACCAAGGGAGAGCACTCCACCCCCTCGTCTGTCAGCCGATCCTGGGTCTCAGTCTCTCTCCCAGATGCCCCCTTCCGGCAAAAACAGACACTTGCTTTGCTGCTTGTCCTGTCCTCCTCCCCTCTGGCCACACCCATCTCACCCCTCTCAGTCATCCATCCCCACCCCGCCCCCAGCTGTCACCAGCCACCCACCCCAAAGCCAGTCGTGTCCCCACCTGCTCCCACCACAGCCCTGTCCTCTGCACACCTGGGGATGGGGGACCTGTGCAGTCCTCAGCCTGCAAGAACCTCCTCAGTCCCCAACACTACTGCGGCACGGCATCTCCTGCCCCCATCGAGCTGCACCTGCTCCACCCCACTGCACTTTGTAGGCTGCGCCCGAGAGCACAGTGAAGACAGAGCAGCTGGGCCCACACACACTCTGTCCCAGAGGTCAGGGACACTCCACAGGCCACGTGAGATGCTACATGAGATGCCACGAGACTCTCAAAGGTGGCCCCACGGCACATGACACAAGTATCACTATGGACCTGGATCATCTAAGAGCAAAAAACTTCACCCTACCTATAAGACAAGAAGCAAGAGTCCCAGGCCGGTCATGTGCAGGGCGTGGCCCAGGCAGTGACTTACGCGTCCGAGTCATCGGAGCTGGAGTCCTCGTGGCTCTGCTCGGCCTTCCACCTCTTGTACCTGTCGATGAGCTCAGTCAGGTAAGACGTCTTCTTTGCATTGCGAATTATAAACTTGTGCTTCAGCAACTCCTTCGCCGTGGGTCTCTGCAAAGGACAGGTGGAGATCACTCTTCCCAAAGTTCTACCGCACCCCAAGGGCAGGTGTCTGCCTCAAAACCTCAGAACGCCCCGTTCCAACATCAAGGTGTGTCATCCCCCTCTCCCCGGCTTCTGAGCTCTGTGCCTCGGCCTCTTTGAAGACAGGTCACTGTGCTCCTGCCTCGGACTCTGGACACAGGCAAGGAGGGTGTGACACTTAGTTTCCTTGCCGGGAAGCAGCCAATGAAAGCAAGAGGCCCCCACGCTAGGAAGCCGAGCAGGACCTCAGAGGCGATGCCTACGGGAGCCGCTCCTCTCCTCGTCCCTCCACACAGATGTGGACAGGGAAGGACATGCTATCTCCAGTGAACTTTATCATATGCTCTGGTGAATACATGTGCTCATTTGGATTCACCTGACAGAACAGGCGAGGAGCCAGCAGAGACCTCTCCTCTCCTCGAGGTGGACGAGCACCTGGCCCCAGTCACCAGCTCTCCCTACCCTGTGGCTGAGCTTAGCACTTCATCTGGCCTGGTCTGGCACTGCCCCAGCCGAGGGGCTCACTCTGTCTGACCTCAGGACACCGCGCCCAGGGCTTTGCCCTCGAGGGTGGCCAACCGCCCAGTGCAGCAACCAGGTTTCCCAGGGAAACGTAGTGTGGCCCAACCTGGAACAGATGGTGGGACACAGAAATGCCAGCGGGTCACAGAGAGTTCCCACTCCCCCTAATCACAAGCCTGGGTAACTAGACCCAGCAAGTTCCTGAGCGCAAGAGTGTATAAACTGGGTCGCCTCACGGGCGTCCAGCCTGGGCCAAGGGTGGGTGGGAGGGAGCAGCCTGGGGAGTAAGCCAGCCCCAGAAACGTCCTTCTGGTGCTGGTCACATCGCCATCAAGTTGGATGGGGGCAGAACTGCCACCGCCCCACCGCTCACTCCCACCTGCCACCCGACACCCGGTACAGAGACCCAGTGCACGAAGACCGCTCCACTCCCACTGAACCTCACCAGAACTGGCCCCGCACGAGGAACACAAAGCTCCCAAAGTCATCAGCCCTCTTTGGGTCTGAGTTAATGGGTTGGGCACGAGAAAGGACAACCTGGCCTTCAGCTAACTCTGCCAAAAAACTCAGGCACAAAACAAGGACATGGGGTGCTGCATTCAACACCAAAACACAGAGCTTTCAGAGAGTGCCCTAATTTTGAGAGGCAAGTGAGGTAAAGCTATGTAGTCACCACAGGCTCTGCCACTATGAATGAACTGTAAAGCGGGAAAGGAAGGGGAAGCAGGAAGTGAGAAAAGTGGCAGACTCCTTTATATCTTATTTGTCCCTTGTTCCTGAGCACACACCTGCCAACTAGAGACAACACACTGACCATCACTGCTCTGGCTAGTCTTTACCATTACGATGACAGTTCAAACCGCAAGGTCCTGAGTTCGATACCCAGTACCAAAAAAGAAAAAAGAAAACTACAACAGTTTATAGTTCATAACCTGATCTTCCTCCAAAAACACTGAAAATTTATGATTCCTCCATAATATTAAGGAGAATATTCTTCAGGCTCAATGAGGCATGAGATGCTAGAAAAAATCTAGGAGAAAATAAGATTTTTCATCCTAATTAAATGAAAACAAAAGCATATTTGTAATTCAGAGAAATCAAACTTATTTAGAGGAAATGAATGAGACCATGAAGGCAGCTGATAAAGAGACTGCATGGATCCCAAAGGGTGCCCGGAAACCCAGCTCTGCCAAGTGCACAAACTCACAAAGCTCGGCTCCTTGTTCAAACAGGCCTCCACGAACTCCTTGAGGGGCTTGCTGTAGCTTCCTTCCAGTGTCGGGGGGTTGTTCTTTGGAATGAGGAACAGAACCTTCATGGGATGCAGCTCGGAATGGGGTGGCTCCCCTCTTGCCAGTTCTATAGCTGTGATGCCCAGGGACCAGATGTCTGCCTGCGACAACAAAGGCATCGTTAGATTCAGAACAGGAATGCGTTCAGACAACACACTTAGGCAAAGAAAGGACAGTACGGCTCTTGGTGTACTTCTGGGGTTCTAGAAAAGACAATTATTTTTAACTATTAAGAAACAAACCCCTTGCTATAATTTCAAAATACGCAGCGACTGGGAAAATGTGCTCTACTGGGACACCTCGAACCTCTCCCCTGATGAAGGTGTGACCACCCTGCAGCAGGTGCTGCCTGCGGCATCAGGGATCATGTGAGTCCCTGGAGACAATAGCAGGGGAACAGAGATGAGTGGGGAACAGCTGTGGCGAGAGGAAGTAACTCTGAAGTCACATCTCGCCCCTCTCGCCCCAAGCGATGCTTGGCATGAGGCCCGGCTGTGGGGTCGGGCAGGCACCTTGGCCTGGATTCAGACGCCGCCTCCACAGTCAAAGTCCTCTCGTGTCAGACAAAGCAGCTAACTGCCTCCTTTCCTCATTTGCAGAACAGGGAAGGGCAGCTGTGCAAGGGACCTAAACCATTTACAATGGCATCATAACATACAGATGATACCATACCCATCATACTTATTTAGTAATTGTTAATGCTGTACCATACAGGCTATTTGTTGCCACAGTACATTTAAAATAAATCAGCTGGGCCAAGGATTTAGCTCAGTGGTTCCGGTGCCTGCCTCGCAAGCGCAAGGTCCCAAGTTTGATCCACGGTACCAAAAAAAAAAAAAAAAAAAATCAATCAATCAATCAATCAATCAATCATCGTGACACCCCCCCCCCCGGCGCAGCTGTGCCACATAAGGACTGTTGGCCACACACTGAAACCTAAAATTACAAAGGCTTGTTCAACTTGACAGGAGTGCAAAAGCGATATGCAGTCAAGAGAAATCGCACTTTGACTTTTTCCAGGAAAGCTATATCCAATACAATTGTTTCTTGTGATGCTGGGTGGTGGCAGCCAGAACAGTCCCAGTGAGCCCCATGATCACAAGGGGAAAATAACTGCACACTGTTAAGCTCCAATGTGCTACAGGGTAAGGTAAGGATTTCCAATTCAGGATATTTTCAGTTTATTGAGCAGCATTTGTAATTCCTTAATATCATTCAAAAACTAAATTTTCTCCACTGTTCAAAAAAATTGTTTTCCATGGTTGATTCATCTGAAACAGGATCCAAACAAGGTTCACACATCCCAGCTGATGTTCGGTGGCCACAGCTCTATTAATCAAAAACAATCCCCACTCAATCCACCCAGCACCATCAACTTGAAGAGGTCTTCAGCTCTGCCTGGTGGTTTCTTCTTGATGCCATGCAATATTTCCCCAGAGCCTGTTTTCCTGCTGAAGGTCCCACTGGATATGGAGGCCTGGTGAGATCCACAGTTGGCAGGAGCCAGTAGCCCTACTCGGGAAACCTGATGCCAGCTGCTCTGACACACACTGTGGCCACGACTGAGCCAGTGGTGAAATCACTGAACATGTAATTTACAAATAATGCTGGGCAGTATTAAAGGACTAAACCCAACAACTCATGACACTTCATCAATCCCCAAAGAACAGGACAAACCCTGAAAATCAAAGAACAAAACATGATGGCAAAGACAACCCAGGGAACTGGAGCAGAGAACAAGCCTTAGCCCAGGGACACTTTCTGCTGTTGGCCTCACTGTGCTTCCTGTCATGACTTCAGCTAGCACTTCTCTCTCACACTCGCCACACAGCAACAAAGGCTGCAGGCTTGCTCAGGAGACCACAGGCTTGGGTACTTTTCCACCCTTAACAATGTGGAAAGCACTCACTGTCCATGTTCTGCCACCCTGGTGCCCCAGCCCAGTGCTCTGTAGGACTGGGACCTGCCACGTCTTCCATTCTCCACCAAGGTTGGAACACCTGTCAGCAAGACTTGTTCTCCATTCTTTGTACTAAATTCTTACCCTAAAGGGATCAGTCTAGGAAGACAAGTATTAGGTATTAAGAGCCCAATTTGCCTTCTCTACAACTTGGAGTGCTTCATTTATCTTGCATGTGTACCCCATTAAAGCTCAGCAGAAACAGGATTTATTCCAGACTCCCTCTGCCCAGGGTGCACACACAGGGAAGCACCTGGAGCCTAGTGGTGGCGGGATGTGCAGAGGCGGGCGCACAGGAGGGAAGATGAGCTTCGGGGACAGATGTGGCTGAAGTTCTTTACACACAGGTGAGCTCAGGAGACTACGTGACTCCACTTCCGCCTGCCTGCGCCAGGTCCCCTGTACCACGCTGCAGCAAATCTCCCCAGAACCACATCTGCTGCTGGCAAATCTCCAAGCCAGAGATGCAGGCCATCTGTCCATGTAGTCTCTGACAATGCCTCCAGCCCTTCGAGGATGCCACAACCAGTCAACACACCCGTGAACAAGAGGCCTGGTGGATGCGGGCCTCTGCTTCAGCCAAACAGGGCAGAGCATGCACTGGTTGCCCAGAGGCGAAGACTTGCTTCAGGCATGGGGCCAGTCAGTAAGCACAAGGGAGCAGGCTTGCAGGGACAACCCTGTTCCACATGCTGACACACACCAGCTGAAGCTGCCTCCCTAGGAGGGGGCCAGGGCAGCACCACAGAGATAAACTGCAGCCGTCCTCCCAGGCAGCCCCGCCAGGATCCAAGTCCTCAGGACTCCTCTGCGGACTGCCTCAGCCCAGCCAGGCACCAAACTGTGGCTCCTGATCCCGTGTCCCGCGCCCTCCTGCTGGTGGCTTCGTTCAGAACTCAGAGGTCCTATGCGGTCTCCCCCACCTTCAGACATCTGATGTCCAGCTGACACCTGGAAACCTGGACCGGCACTCAAATAAATGTCAAGGGTCTTAGCAATCTGGGAGGCCGAGGCAGAATAATCACAAATTCAAGCCTAGCCTTTGTAACTTAGCAAGGCCCTGTCTTAAAACAATAAAAAGGCTGGGAATATACCTCAGCGTGAAGGTCTGGGTTCAGGGTTCAGTCCCTAAGAACATCTATAGAAAGAGAGGAAGGGAAGGCGGGAGGCAGGGCAGGCAGGCCAGCCAAGCAATTTGGCAAATGACAAAAAAGTGAAACTATTCAAGCTTGTTCAAACCAATTAGTTCCACTTACAGGAATCTTAGATAGATGTAAGATTTGGAAGATGCTCGGGCCAGGGATTGAGCTCAGTGGTTTGGCCACCTGCCTTAAAAGTAAAAGGGCCGAGTTCAATCCCCAGTACCAAAAAAAAAAGACTTGGAAGATGCTAAGTGTCCCCCAAAATATTCAATAACAGTATAACTTGCATTCTACCTCAGAAAAACAATTAAGTGCATTGGCCTGTTAACTTAGTGAAATATCTCATACCAACAACATGGCACTGGCAAATCTTAAATAAAACTAGTTTATCTATTACTGCATCTAGGAAATACAGCATCCAATTTGGAATGTGTGCCTGAGTATTAAAGTTATAGAGAGCAAGGGCAGTCTCCTTCCATAGCAAGGAAAACTGAGGTATGAGGGGATCTATTTGCGTGGGGGTGGGGGGGACCACACATGAAATTGGATATTAAGACGCTGCTGACAGAGAAAAAGACTGGTTCCAATACACATCCAAGTCACAAGCAACAGAGGCCAAAAGCTTGAAATGCAGGTGTTAATTGGGAGTAGCTCTCTTCCCACAGGAATACTTCTAGGAAGCAACATCAGGGGAATCACTGTTCCTCGTTAGAGGACTTCCTCAACGGGAACAGGAAACCGGAATTACATACAGCAGCATCCTACATCCTCACAAGGGCAAGTGTTTAGAATAAAGCAAATTGACCACAAGCCTGGAGAGAGACACAATTTAAGTGAGTTTTTAAAATTATGCATAGGAAACAATTCTAGAAGGAACCCTGATCAACTCTATCATCAATAGAAGAAAACCAAGCAGGACAACTCCAAGTTACTCATAACTGACTGAACTAGTCTAAACAAAAATGGATTTAAGATAGCTACTGTGTGCTTAGATGCAATACTTAGGAATGCGTTTAAATGTGAGAGCCAGACACATAAAAGACATTTATGAGAACTTAATAGTAATAAAAGCTTTACCCGAAATGGCCCCACATTAAGCCTGCTGAAATGAAGCCCTGAGTGACTTCCCCAGCTCACACCCTCATCCCCTGTAGGGCTCTTCCTCCCAGCCAGGGTGGTGCAGGCAGCAGGGAGGGCCAGCCTGCTCCACAGGAGATGGGCCAACTGCAGGGGCCAACTGCAGGGGCCAACAGCCACTGCTAGTGGCCACCTCCTCCCTCGGCTTCACACCCTGCTTTTCCCATCAACACATCACCGAGGTGCAGGTGCAAGTGCAAGTGGGTATTTCAGAGATGGCTGGGACCTGGTTGTAACTTGGCCTGGGCCTGGACTTGGCAGCAATCTACACATGGTTTTTCTTTCTTCCCTTTTCTTTTTTCAGCATTTTCCAAATCATCACTGAAGAGCACACATGTACTGCCTCAGGCCAAAACCAGGAAAAGCCACTGACAAGAGAATGCTGACCCTCTCCTCCCGGCACCTCCAACTCAGGGCAGGCCAGTGTCTCTGGCACTGCCTGCCACACTATAGCACATCTGCAACCCCAGCGTAAATGCCCACTCTTCCCCGAGTCGCCCTTCAAGCACATCCTTTCGTCACCTCAGAGGGGCATCGGTGACACTCCGGGCTTCCTCTGGCCTTGCTGCCCTGGGCCTCTGCGTGCTGAGTGGAGCAGGGCACCCAGATCCCATGTGGATGACTTGGCACAGCCCTGGGCCCAACCACGGCCCAGAAGTTGACTGACAAACAACTGCGGAGAGAGGGACACGAACAGGATGGCATTTTCACCCGAGTCTATCCCATCTGCTAACGTATTATCCAAATAATCTTAAAGAGAAACAAAGATGAAAAGTTCTTCAGCCCAAGGCCCATGGCTTAGTGTTGAAACCAAAGGCCTGCAATATGGGAAGCAAAGTTACCATCCTTGCCACTGACTTCAGAGTGGTGTGCTCAGACTGAGAACAGACCCTAACATGAGAAGCTGCTCATGTACAAACACACTCAGGAGCAACTGGGCAGCAGGGCACAGATGCTGGCTCGGGTGACCACTGTAAGCGAATCTGTCCAGGCTTCAGGAAGGGGAGATGCGTGCTCCTTCCAGCTCGGGGAGAGGAAGATGCTAGGAGGCAGGTGCATCCTTCCTTCGCCACCCTCTCCTGTCTTTTTGGGAAAGCTGCTGGGTGCATGTTCTCGTAACTGCAGGAAGGAAGCCTGCGAGCCTGGTGGGGAAGGCCTCCCTGCACCTGCAATGCAGACCAGAGGGATGATGCCTCCGAGAACACACCAGGGTGCATAAGAGGGGCACCAGGAAGAAGTTGGGGACACCTAAGAATCAGGAGGCCACAGCAGCCACACTGGCTGCCCCAGAGGCACCCCAACCCCCAGGAGGACAGCCACAAAGCAAGCTTGGAGAAGCAGCACAGTCAAGGCCTGCTCTGGGCAAGAGCTGCTAGACCAGAGCAGACATTCGAGACATCTTCCTAAGGCCTCACCCTTCAAATCCCACTCCTGAATATCTCAAAAGTAAGACACCGACAGCACTCTAATCTGCACCAGCCACACCTCCCCAGCCAGGAAGCCTCCAAGTTCACTCTCATATGACTTCCCTTAACCATCACTGGGCACGATCCAAGCAAACAATTACTTTATGATAAGTCAGAGTAAAAGGTAAAGTAGTAAAAGGTTGAAAAAAAAGAGAAAACATTTTCTTATACTACTTCCTCTCCAAACACGTGTGCATTCCCACAGCCATGAGACAGCACCCAGATGTGCCTGACGCCATCCATTGGCTGCTAAGAGCCTTTCCATCTGGACGAGAACTCCGGGAAGGAGACTGGCAGATCTTTCCAATGCTCGTAGCCACCTTCAGCAAATAAGCAGAGAGGCCTCAAACCAGGATGAGAGTGGAGAAGGGTCAGAACAGCTCTTAAAAAAAGGTTCCAAAGGACGAATGATAGGCAAGTCTGAAAAGGTACAAACTGAGTCCCATGTCATGTGATGACCAGCTAATTTACTACCAAGAATGACGAGAGAATATTCACGTGGTGTGATCAGGTGAATTTAGGAACGTGGATTCCAGTCTCTGCTGAGCTGAAATCTAGACACATGAATTCTGATAAATGGAGAAAAAGAACTAAACACATTCCTTCAATTCCATGACCTTTGGGCCTGCAGAGAGGAAAGGCAGTCCAGTGCCAGGGCAAAGGCACCACTGCAGCGCCTCTAGCAGTATAGCCAGCTCGTCTGGGGTGGGGGGCTGCCCTGTGGCTCCCAAGGCCATTTGAGTGCTCACAGAAGTCACAGCTGCCACCACTATTTAGCAGCAAGACAGAAAGAAGGTCCACTGCTCCCAAGCCAGAACCAGAAACCCTGCCACTTCCGCCACACAACATGCTAGGAAGGCCAACAGCGCTAGGTCCCAAGGGAAAACTTCCTAATGCTCCCTGGACCGTTTTAGGAGGTGGGAATTCTACCATGTACTGAAAAGGGTTCCATTTTAAAAGGTGACACTACGCTAGGCCAGTAAATCTTTGTGAGTTAAGTATTTGTTTGCTTAGGAATCTGTGGCTCACAAGAACCAATTTTCTCTGTACAGTCCACTGGGAGGAACAGACCGGGAAGTTAAATGGAGTTAAATCAGAAAACAGGAGACAAGGAGTCCTAGGATTCTCAGTCTATACTACCAGGCTTAATGAAGTTGAAGGGCCACAGGAAAAAAGAACCGACAAGGAAAAGCAGCTGGAAGAAAGACGACGCTGGGCGTCACGTTGGGAAGGAGGCTCCAGAGTCAGGGTCCTGACTAAGAACTGCAAATTACGTGGAGGAAGAACCTGGTGCAGTCCCCAAAGGCGCACTCTCCCTCAGCCCGCTGGGCCTCTCCTGCTCCTGGCCCGTGTCCTGACTACTGGACAGTGGGCCCGGCCCTGCCCCGCGTCCACTCTGCTCAGGCCTCGCCCTCCTGTGCACAGCCAGTGTCCACCTCCTCGCCGCCCGGATGACTGAGCTCACACGGGGTCCTCTTGTCTCTGCGCACCCCTGCTTCTGCCCCCACACCAAACACACTGAGCGAAAACCACCACTGTGGCTGCGTCAGCACAGGTGCTCAGGGACACAGCAGGAAACAGAGGGTGGAGAGTTGCCTCCACCACCCCCGGAAGGTAGCAGCCAGGCAAGCCGGAGGCTGCAGGACAGAAGCATGCCACGCTGGCTCTTACCTTCGAGTCGTAGGCCGACTGTTTGATGACCTCGGGCGCCATCCAGAACGGGGTGCCCACGAAGGTGTTCCTCTTTATCTGGGTGTCCGTCAGCTGGCCGGCCACTCCAAAGTCGGCCAGCTTCACCTCTCCGTGTTCAGACAGCAGAACATTGGCCGCTGTGAAAGAAGCCCCAGTGCTGACGTCAGCCACCACACTGCGCAGCGCCGAGCACGGGCAGGGGGTGTGTGCGTCCTCTCCGGCCACCTTGCTGCCCAGTGGGAACAGGCCAGGGCTTTGCTGTTGGCCACCTCCCCCCTCCAGCCCAGCCCCAGAGGGCTGAAGGTGCAGGACTGCTCCCTTGGGCTAAAGTCGAGCTCCACCGCCTCGGGCATTTTAAAAGGATGAAAACATCATTTTTACCTTTAATATCTCTATGGATCTTCTTCTCTGAATGCAGATAATCAAGTCCTTTCAGTATTTCCCTTAATATGGTAGCGATTTGAGTTTCATCTAAAGGACCAGGTTCTAACTAACAAAAACAACCACAAAAGAGTGTTAGAATTACTTAAGTGATTTACCTTACATACAGTGGGAGGCAAGGCAATACCCTCCTTAAGTGCACAAGGATAATTAAAGTCTAGGCGTTTTGCCTACATAATTAAAATCTAGTGAAGGATCCCCAACAGCAGAACCAGAGAAAATGACTTTGGAGAATGAAGCAAGGTCAGCTCGCCAGAGCCCTGGTCACACCTGCGGCTGCAGGCTGGCCTGTGAGCCTCACCATCGGCCCATGGGGCGCAGGCAGGGTCCCACGTCTAGGAAACAGTCCAGAAATCACAGTGCGTACAGGATCTGCCCTCATCTACTCGGCCATCTCACCAGAAGGTTCATCCCTGTCACTCGAAAAGCAAGTTCTCAGAAAAGGGAGGCCTAGGAGCCCATCCATTCCTGAGGTTACTGGTGCACCAGAGCTTTCTAAAGCTCTATCTTAAAGCTTCTCAACCTGAAGGGATGTAGCTGAAAGACTTCAAGTCCTAACCCTTTGAGATTTGTTATGTAGTCCATGTGGTAATAAAAGTTATTTATTCCTAATGAGGTAATAACTGCCTCTGGAATTTTTATTGAGCAACTCAGAGTTAGTTGTTAGTATTGACTCCTTAATGGCCACTCTTCTATAAAGATGTTAAGGAAAAAATGTTGGATGTGCATATTCCCATTGGGAAGGAAGAATCAGAGAGCTAAAGAGCTGGTCTGCTGGACAGTATGTCCACCATCACTTGCAGAGAGGGGATTCAATCAATCACAACTCATAATGACGCGATATACCAGCACAGCCACCTAATGCTCCGTGAAGGCCTCACAGTAGAGCAGGACAGGGGCAGAAGTCTAAGAAGCAGGATGCATTTCTCCTCTGTCTGTTCCTCCAGGCTGTTTCCCAACTTGACAGTGAATGCCATCATACCCCAAGCTCATACACCTGCGCCAACTGACCACACGGCCCCACAATGGCCACTAAGTTTTAAAGATAAATGTGCTCTACACCAAACAGGATGAAAGCTAATATGCTCCTTGTCTGTTGCCTTGACCGCATGTCCTGTGGGACGGCCAGAGGGTATCCAGGGCCCAGTGAAGATACCTCTGAAATTCACCTGCACTGCAGTGACTCATGCCTGGCACTGCTTTCTGGTTCAGGCCCACCCTGGTCCACACTATAATCCCCAAGGCCTGCCTGACTCTCCCTACCTGTAAGCCTCTGTGGTCTGACTTGTTTGGCAGAAGAACACAACTAGATCAAGCTGTCCCCTGCCACCTCCCCACCATGAAGAGAGGGTGCTGGTAGCTTTGGTTAGTCTCCATATCCTGTGCTTTGAGAGAGCCAAGCACTTGTGTGCAGTAGCCTGCAAGGAATCACCACAAATGCTACCTGAAATTCTGTCCTTGGATCAGGACTTCGTTTCACAGAACCTAATTCTTCAAAAAGTTATATGGCCAAGAGTCTTGTTTTTAACACATAGAAACCACTGTTCCAAAGACCAGAGTGCAGAATCCCGTCTCCTAATGAGTCTGCTTTCTTCATGTTAACTTTTTCAGTCTTCACAGAATGTACAAGTTTTCATTTCACAACCAGAAAGACACACTTCTCTTACCACCTGAGGGAAGAGATGCTTGCTCCTGTTCTCAATGTCACAACACTGAGGAAACCCAGTGATGTCAGCGAGACGCTCAGCAGCATCTGGCCAGCCTGGGCTTTCCCAGTACAAAGAATTCCTTCAATGAGTCCCCAGACAGACATGGCAGAGCAGCACCCAGGGAGAGCAGGAAAAGGAGCTGAGGAGAGCGAACTGTAAATCCTCCTAGATGATAACAACGGGCTCTTCTTAACTCTGGCGTGCCCTATCCACCCATCACTGGTTTATATGCCATGAGGGACAACCTAAGGAATTCATTTGGGGTGCCCATGATGCCCATTTTGGGTATGAACTTAACTGGGCTAAGGGATGCCCAGGTAGCTGTAAAAACACTGGGTATGCCTGTGAGGGTATTCCCAGAAGACACTGGCATCTGAATCAGAGGATAAGGAAAATCCACTCTCAGCCAAGATGGATGGGCCACATCCAAACTGCAGAATGCCCAAACAGAACACAAGGCAGAGAAAGGCAAATTCACACCTCTCTTCCTAAGCCGGGACGCCCTACTTCTACACCCTGCTTCTGCCCTTGGACATCAGAAATCCACGCTCTCTGGCCTTTGAACTTGGACTGGGCTGTGCTATAGACTTCCCTGGTTCTCCAGCTTGCAGAGGATCTACAATGGGCCGGCTCAGCCTCCGTATCACATGAGCAATCTCATTAATAAATCCCCTCTCATCCACTCACCTCCTACTGGTTTTGTTTCTCTGAAGAACCCTAACATAACTTCAAATTCAATGTAAAAGGTATTATTCCTAGATTGTGTCAGGCCAGTGTGAGCCTGGTGTCTGCCAGAAGGACCACCAGCCGGGCACACCACCACCCAACCAGAGTCCACGGCCCCAGGCCCTGCAGCAGCGAGCGTGGAACATAAGTACATGTGACACATGCCCCTCCTGGTCTTGGTCCTGAATACTGGCAGCTGGAGAGGACAAAGGCTGAAGACTGTGAGAAGCTACGGGTGACCCGACATGTGGGAGACAAATCAACTTCTGTCTTGTTTTAGAGCTGTGACAACAGCAGCTCGGCCTAAATGTTACTTGAATGTACCACCTCGTGATGTGTGTGTGTTGTGTACTCATTTTGAAGCTTGTCAATGATCTGCCTATCAAGTGATGGATTTATGTAGCAAAGCTCCTTCCTAATTAGATTCCAGATCTGTCCCTTAGATTCTCTGGCAACACGAACTGACCTATTAATCACATAAAACCTTTTTGTCGCAGGCCCTCTTGCTAACCCTCACCCAACTCTCCTGATGCCTTCCTCTACCTGCTTTCTCTTCCTAACCCTTCTAGCACACAAGGACATACTTGGACGTGCAGCTCCACTACGGAAGGATGCAAGGGCTCCCCAGGGCTCAGGAACGCAGTAGGCACACAGCAGGCACACAGCATTTTCCAATCAAAATGGTTTCACTCCCTGGGCTACCACTCTTATCACACTGGAAGTCAGAATGTCTTGAATTGCACACTATCTATTATTCTCTCCTAGGCCTGGCATCCTGCAGGCAGCTGCAACCTGACAGCCTAATGACACAAGTGGCTTCCAAACTGTATTCTGAAGAACTCAAAGTTTCCACACAGTGGCCTTCGGGATCCAACCGACATTGTATTTATTATTTAATTTCCTTTCAATTAAAACAGACACACACCCCCCCCAACAGATTGAGCACATCCAGGTGTGTGCATTCAAAATATATACCTTTTTTTATACTAATGGCTGTAAATAACTGAGCTATACTATCTAGCCTTCACAGTAAACCCTAAATTTGCATTTTTTTTAAAGTCAAAAAGCACGCAGCACCAAGAAAAGAAGAGCAGGCTCATGGGACACACAGCTCTATCGACACTGGTTTACCTTCAGCCAGCTAAGGAAATGCTTTGGCCTGGCCTAGACCTGGGCAGTCCATCCACAGGACGACACCTCAATAATTCACTCAAGTTGATCTGGTTAACACCAAACCAATGGAATACAGGCTTTCCACTGCAACCTGCACTGTCTCCTATGAAAGGCCCAAGGTCTATTTGTACACCGTGTAGTAGAATAAAGACATCAGGATTTGCACCCTGGTTTTGAGGCTCACCCATCTTCCACCTGGGGTAAAGTCACTTTTGCTCTATAGGGGGGCTCTGTGAGTCTGTAAAATGGGGGTGTGTGTGTGTGTATGTGTGTGTGTCAGAGTTTCAGTCCTCAGCCTGACCCGTGCTGCTAGCACTCAGCAGGGCTTCATGGCACGGCTACAAGAAAGGCAGGATGTGACCCATGACAATTCCCTGCCCGCCTCCAAAGTATCCTGGGTTTCCCAGCAATTCTTTGTCCCACATCCCAGTCTGGAACCTGCCTGCACTGAACCTCAATTCCAGAACAGAAGGAAGCTTCCCAAATCCACTATGCTCAAAGGGCAATTCTGGGTGAAAGAGGGTGCCCTGCCTGTCCTGGCTGAGACCTGATGGAAGGAAGCACACTGATGTCTCACGGTCCAGGTAACACAGTATCAGGCCATAACAAAGAGCGAGAGGGCAGTGTGTAGGACGCAACATGTACTCGAGTCCATACAACTACATGTAACGTGCGCTGAAGGCCAAGGGCAGGATGGGCCCACAGAGACAGCTCAGATCTCTGGGAGACTGCAGCCTTAGGGAATTTCCGCTGCTGAGGGATCCTCGAGATCAGGACTGGCAGAGCCAGCTTTCTGAACAAGATATGCAGTCTTCTTTCCCCTGCAGGCCTCAACATGAGGCTCCTACAAAGTCATATAGTAACTACAACCACATGCCTGTCAGCAGAGATATGTAAAAACTAGTTAGAATTTTTGAAAGATACGGCCCCTAAATCCATTTATTCAGCTATATGGCATCATGCTTTCATACATGACGATATTCTCGTTTTTAAAATCTTTTATAAACATATAGGTGACCCTTTAAAATAATCCTAATAGTTTCCAACATTCAAAAAATAACTACTATATCCCATTATTAAAGTGTGTTCTCCACTTTGAGGGCTTGGGGGCCGGGACAGGAGACAGAGAGAGACAAAGTAGGAGGTAGGAGGATGCCAGCCACAGTCTCCACGGCTAGCAAATCCAGGTCCCCGGCCCAGGCCCGCCTGCGAGCTGGCACACCCAACTCCTCAGTGGAGTCTTCCCTCTCCCGCACCCTGGAGGGCCAGGCGGATCCAGGGAGGAATGCCCATTTCTCGTCACCAGGGATACTGACACACAAGCTGGCAGCTGGCAGCTGGCTGGGACGCTTGCACCATATGGGACTTCAAAGTGGAGAACTGCACACCTCCTTCTAAGAGCAGTGTCTTAAAACTGCACTGACACCAAATCAAGTAAATTAAATTACTGTCATACTAACAATAAATACACACCAAAGCACTCTGAAACCAGAACTGCTGTCTGAGGGACTCAGTGTCGGGCAAAGAAAAAGTCTCTGCAAGCAATTTCATGTGCACCACGAATTAAACCCACTTAGAGTAATAGTAAATCTAATTGCACAAAAGGAAGCAATTTTCTACATTCCTGTAGTGTTTCCCAAGAGTGAAGAAATGAACAGCTTTTTGTATAATGTGCATATTTATGGAAAGGAATCAAAGAAAGACAACAAAAAAGTATCCAGTTAGGTTTTTTTCCTCATTTTAATACCACTGTTTATACCACACTAGTTTTCTTTACTGAAATCTTTCTTTTTAACCCCTTTGACTCTTTTTGTGGGATTTACAACAGTATGTAGTTTTCTAAATTAAGGTAATATTAGCTTTCTGGTGATACACATAGTTTTAGAATTCCACCTTCAAAAAAACCCTACTGATTGCTATTATTACTGTGAAAAAGAAGTAACTTTTCAAGGGGGATTCCCTTCTTTGCAAGTACAATCTATGTAGACTGAATATACCAAAAACACGACTTCCTTCAGCTGTCATTACAGCAGTAGAAACCACAGACCTGTCATCCTGACACTGTCCCCAGGCAAGCGCCCAGTGCTGAGATGACCGCTTCAGCCAGCCTCGGGCCTCAGTGTCGTTAAGGTGTGGCATGGGGGGAAGTGAATTTAATGCTAACTGCAGAGGGGATGAGATGGTGAATGCTAAGAGCTATGTGACATCTTTTTTTCCTTTACATGCCCTATGTTTCAAACACGACACAAGCCACGCTTACAGGTGCTGCTTATTTATGAGCACTCAAAAGCACGGCTTGAAGCCAGGTTTTACAAGACGGCCAGAGCACTCCCCCCAGCTTCCGCCACCTTCTGTGAGGCCCGGCAGTGGGACAGGCTCCCTGGGCAGGGCCACAGGAGGAGCCACCACCAGGCCCAGGCCTGCTCGTCCTGACACAACGTGCCCGTTGGCAGGAAGCAAGGGTGGGCACCGTCCAACTCCTTGCCTGACCCCTGTCCCAAGACCTGACGCCACACCTCGATAATCACACCTGTGTCTCACTCTGGAGATGAAAATGTGATACACTTATTTTGGGAGCTAAGTTACCACCTGAAACATGAAACCATGATGTCATCTGCTCTACAAAAGCTAAAGCCTGGTTCTGGAAAATAAGCGAGCCAACTGTACTTAGGTACGATGAGTTCTGGGCAAAATCCCTCCTTGTTTCTATGAATGAATTCACTGGTTTCTCATAAAACAACAAGAACAAAAAGATTTCAAAGGCAGGCCTAATTTTCAATAACATATAAGAAGCAAAAATACATAAAGAATAATTTGGTTCCTTTTTTTCATGTCACTTAAAAGGGGGAAAAGTAATGGATACAGAATCATCTATCAGACCCAGACTGAGTGAGAAGGAAGTCTTCGGTGTATGGAACACACCCGACGTACTACTTACTAGATCCAGTGCGGAGCCGCCACCAAGATACTCCATTATTATCCACAATTTCGTATCCTACACAAACAAAAACAAAAAAGGAGGGAATTACTTTTAAAATAGAACCAGAAAAAAATACGTTAAAGAACTGGAGAGAGTTCATCCCTGCTATTTTGGCTCTAGAAGCCATCACAAACTCACGTCAGGAAGGAAAGTGAGTGGAGGTAAGGACACCACACACACACAGTGCCCCCTCCAACAGCTCGGGGGACAGCAAGGACCACGGACCCCTGCTAAGGACAGTGCTGCAGACCAGAGCCTCAGAGAGGGACAAGGACACTTCCATCTCTAGACCACCTCCTTAGTGAACCTCAGGTAGAGCAGGGCTTGAGAACCTGCAGCTGAGTCAAGCCCAACAAGGACAGCACACCTTGAAGCACTCAGTGATGGGGAGCAAGGTGTCTCCATGCTCTGCCTGCAGCTCCGAGGGCCTGGTGAGCCTGGAGGGCAATGCAGTGCTCCAGGGAATGAGTCAACCAATGTGGCACCCCAATCTACTTGCTGTGCAGAAAGCCAGCCAATTTCCAGCACCTCCAAGGGGCCGCTACTCTCTCCCTCCAGGGAGCTTTCCACAAAAGCAGGCCCGACCTAGCACTGTGTGTGTGTGTGTGTGTGTGTGTCCTTTCAGCTCCTCAGGACTTCTGGGCTTCTCTTCTATCCGTGGCTTGGGTACCCACGGGGTCCTACAAACAACACCCCTCGGGTACTGAGGGGCCACGGTACTTAAAGCTGCATCTTCGTTGCTTACTCCAGACTTTATGGTAACTATGTATTCACTGAAAAAAGAAACCAAAAGAAAAGCAATAGGATCCTTTCTGAAGCTCTGCAGCTGTCCTGAAGAAGGATGGTACAGCAGGCATGATGGTCCACGCCTGTGATCCCAGCACTTGTGAGGCTGATGCAGGAGGTTCGAGGTGAGTTCAAAGCCTGCCTGGGCTACATAGCAAGAACCTGTCTCAAAAAAAAGACAGCACTGCAGAAGCCCCACCCTGATCTCCTTTGTGGTCCTCCCAACACAGACAAGAGCTGAGCTGGTTCTGGAATGTGTTCCAATTACCCAGACTTTTTTGCTTTTGGAGTTCCTCAAGTCGGAAAGTTCCTGGTCTTCCCTCTCCTCCCCCTGAACAGACTACTTAACCAACCATCTGTCTGATGTTCATTTTGGATTTCCGTCTCTGTACTGCCCCTGACAGCTCGCTTGAGCTGAGGACACACGGCCTGTGGACCTCAGTACCTAAGGAAAGGCCACAGGGTAGACCGATATTCACTTTAGGGAGGCACTGGCACATCCACTGCATCTGTGAAACAAACTCTCAACAATGAAACTTAAAATCTGCTGTGTGGAGTTAATTCTAAGACAGCCCAAATGAAAGTCCGGGTTCTAATGTATGCAGAATCCTTTCTCAAGCTTTTCAATGGCCTGGATTACTAACAGCATGGAGGCAAGTTCAGGCTAGCCGGGCAGCGCAGAGCCTGGATGATGGGCTCAGGACCTACATGACAGGTGCAGAGCTAGCTGCCTGCTTCTGATTTCAAGAGTATTTCCTATCACAGAGAGCGGTCTGCAGTGTTCCTCCGCTCATGATGGAGATGCTGGCTTGCAGATAGATTTCTGGACCACCAGCTTGCTGGTGAAGGTGTGGCTGCTCCTTCTAGGTATTTCATAAGCATCCTGTCTGTTGGCCACAAGTAAACCATGCCACACAAGGATGGTTTCTTTTGGGATGACACTGGAAATCTATGTTGTTTTTCTCTGAGAGGCTTTGGAACTTTCAATTTCTACTCCCGTTCCTTGTGTTTGGCTTTGGTTGGACTCAGCTCTGAAACTTCTTGTTTTCCGAGCATTAAATTTACTACCAGCAAGATAAGTGCTGATCAGGGAGGAAATGTCCCACAGCCTCTCCCTCCGCAGCTAGTGGTATAATCAAACCCTGGGACGATCTTCTGCTGAATTAGGGACTTGTCACCAGGAAACAAAACACAAATGACTACGCCCTGGTCCTCACCATTCCAGAGCTCCACCCTCCTCTCTCCCTACACCCACCTACTGAGGTAAGTACCTCCCTACCCACAGGTAGGTAAAATAACCCTCCAGCCCTAATTCTGCCTCTTATGGAACCTCTAGCAGGATGCCCAGGCACATTTTTCTCTAGAAGCAAGCACCCAACTGCACAGCCCAAAGCCAGAGTCACACCTTCTTGTGACAAAGGCCTCCTCTTTCCTGGAGAAGAAGAGGGGATCAGACCACCCCTGCTATTTCTCTCCAGCTCTTCCCTGGGAGCAGGCACGCTGGGTGGGGACACTGCCCAAACACAAGCCCGACATGTTCCAGGGCACTGGGGAAACACCTCAAGCCCTCATTCAGGCCACTGCTTCTTAGGTACCTGTCCCGGCTCCCTTTAGCACCAAGTGCCAGGGAAAGAAAACTGCTTCATGGAAGCACCACCTGCTTCTCAGGCTGCTGCAGGAGTCGCCCGGGGAAACCCTCACCACTGCCAGAGTCCCGGCACCTCCTGCCAACCCCCCCAGGCTCCACGGGCACCAGCCACTAAAGCTGAGGGCAACCAACAGGCAACAAGCAGGGAGAGTGCGAGGGGGCCAGCGGGACAGGGACCTGAGGGAAAGTGACGAAGGCCAACGCTTTCAAAGAAATGGGAAGTCACGGAGGGTTATCAGCAGGGCAGAGATCCTCGGGAACCCCTTACCGGCCACCTCCCACTGGTGACCACACTACTCATACGTCACTTGCCCAAGGGTTCCCTGCATCCTCAGCGCCCCTCTCCAGGTCCCAGGAAGCCCAAAGCTGTGGGCTCTGCCCTGCTCCTCCACTCTGGGCCAGAATTATCCTCAACTATGTCCCCATTAATGGTTTCTCTACTCGGATTAGATTAGGACGGTGCTGTGACAGGGACACAGTGACCGCAGTCTTGGAGCTGTCAAGGGCTGGCACCTAAGCTGAGTGGCCTAGCAGGCACCCTGAGGCCTGCACCTCACAGGCAGGACAGAGGTCCCCACCCCAAATAATCACACCCGCCACCACCAACCCTGAAAGGAGAGCCGCTAGGAGGGTACAGTTACCCTCCCAGAGTGGGCAGCTGGCTCCGAGCCCTCCCGAGGTGCCCGTCCCTTCTATAAAGTGGGGTGTTTGCCTATCACCTCCGCACAGCCGCTGTCCCTCACACTGACTCAGCTCAGGTCATTCCCAACAGCGGACAATGTGAATGCTGTGCGCATAGGCGTTGCGTGTGCCGCTTGGAGAAAAATGACAAGAGAAGTCTGTGCGTGTTCAGCGCAGACACAACCCCCGTCCCTAACATTTTCAAGCCACTACCGGCTGAATGTGTAGAAATGAACCCCAAAACACAGGGGGTCAACTCAGCAGACCTCTCAGTTTGTTTTCCAGGATTTTGGTTAACAGTGGCCCGTAGACATTAAGTATTTGTCTTGACTCAAGACACAGAGAGAAATCACACTCATGTAACTCTGTATTACAGTACTTTGTTGCAACTGTGTTTTATTCACAGTTATTGTTAAGTCTCTTAGCATGCCTTTTAGTTAAACCTGACCAAGCACATGTATGCACCGGAAACAATGCAGTGTGTAGATGTACCGTGGCATGGGTAAGGGGATCCACTGTACACTGAAGCTCCAGCCGGAAGATGACTACTGTCATCCCTACAGCACATTAGGCCAGCCACTTAAACACTCAGGTTTTGCTGGAATTCCTCACCCATAAATAGATGGATGATAACAAGCCAGCCACAGTGGAACACACCTATAATCTCAGCATTTAGGGAGGCTGAGGCAGGAGAATCAAAAGTTCAAGTAGCAAGATCCCATCTCAAAATAAAAAATAAAAAAGGGCTGGGGATGTAGCTCAGTAGGAAGAAGGCATACTTCAAACCTCACAATTCATGTGACAATAAAATGAGATCATGAAGTGAAAGCACCTTATAAAGTTCAAGGTATTGCACAAATGCAAAGCATCCTGAGCTTTATCAGCATCAGTGCCCATAAATGCCCTGAAATAACCTAATAAAACTAAATTGGCCTAATTAACAAGACTCAACAGTTTCTGGGCAAAAGGAAACCTGGAAAAGGATTCATATGCACCCTGCACTAAGGCGAGAGTGCCGAGGAAGGGAGGCCTGGCCAGGTTACTAGGAGGCAGGCCACGTGAGGCATCGCCCAGGTGACACCGTATGTCACCTCCAGATGGAGCTGGAAGACCAGGGTCTTCACTCAGCCTTCCTTCCCCAGGATGACTTGCTCCCCAGGAAATACACAGCAGCCACTGTCAGAACCTAAAAAAAATGTTTTTTCTTTTTTTGAGACAGGGTCTTGCTGTGTAATCCAGGCTGGCCTTGAACTCCCTTCATTGTCCTTGATGGCCTCCAACTCACTGTCTCCTGCATCAGCCGACAAAGTTCTGGGATTACAGGCACATTCTCCTACCACAGCTGACATCAAAAATGATTCTAACCAGAATAATTTTTAAGTGATCTCAATAGAAATTATGAGTGACTTCATGATATAATCTTCTCATGAGGAAAATAACATTTAATAAGTAAGTTCAAGAGTCAAAATGTTCAAAAGGTACCGAAGTGCTCCCCCCATCCTTGGCCCCATCCCCAGCAGTTATCACAGACGCTTATGCAACCTCAGAGAAATCCCTTACACACATATAAGCAAATTCCTGTGACATCCTCTCCTCTTGTGCCCAAATGGCAACATTCTACACCCGGTGTGGTTTGCCTTGCTTTTTCCTGAAACTTTCGAAGAGCTTTTGTTTGGCCAGGGAACTACTGCCAATACATTCTCCTGCTACCAGGGAGCAGGTGTGCATGACAATCCTCACTCCGCCTGGCCTGGAGAACTGCTGGGAGGGGGGACCCATCTGAATGTTGACAGCTAATGACAACCAAAACACTGCCTCCAGCAACGTCTGGGGATGCTCATTCCCCATCCTCGGCCATTACAGGTAGACACAGTCACGCTTTTATTGTTATTTTTATGAC